ATTGTATGTAACATTCTTATAAGCTTCAAACTACAAGTTCAACTTTTTTGTAACATAATAATTAATTCCAATAGTTTTAATTGGGAGTTGATAATTTTTTTCTTTTTTTTAATTGACAGCCAATAAAATTATGTGTCAATTTTAAGAGTCTCGTTAATGATTTGATGATGATGTGATTATTAAAATTAGGTGCTTTTATATCGGCGTACTGTACCAAAAAAAAATCGAGGAAACGTATGTTGTCCAGTGTTTGGAATGGCTTGTCTTCGAATGGGGTGTTTTTTCAATAAGGCGTTATTGAGCCTGCTCAGCAGGGCGTCCTAGCAATGCAAACGAATTTCTGAGGGTGCCAAGTGTAAAATGCCGTAAGTGCTTTATTGAGAAGCAGAAGGGAAAACAGGGCGAAAGAGATTGTCAGGCCCCATTGTCCGCTTCGTGTGTGTCCTCCGGTATTAGAACGTACAAAGGAAACCGGTGCATTTCCCGACAACGAGCCCCGTCCAACCGGGCCGATAAGGCACAAAAGTGTATGCCCGGTGGAGATAACATTTTTTCATCTTCGCCGTCGGACCTTCAAAGGGGCCGCTGGGATAATCGGACTCCTTCAGACGGCGATTGCAAAATATTGACCGTTAGATAGAAAAACACAGACCCAATATCCTGCAAACAGTAGACGCAATAGAAGCGACTTTTATAATCTGCCGAGTAAATGGTCGATAACGTTTCGGCCTTTTTATCGAAATGTGGGCAACTAGAGTTTTATAGGATCTTTGCCCCAATTCCTTTTTTGTGCAGATAACCCGCCTGTTTGCCACGCGCTATAAAATAATTTTCAATAGAACTCCACACACTGCCTTGGTGTTCACTGATAAAAATAACTTTCGGTGTTTTCGCCTCGTATGATTTTGTTTTTGTTACGTTTTATGTACAATAAGACGTAACAGTATCGTAGTACCTGTTTTTTTCCTCTGAATAATTTTTACATAACTGAATCAACTTTATTTAAGTTTGGCCCATTGTTTGTCTCTTTGTCAGATTCTCTTATAGATTGTTTTATTCACTTGATAAATTATATGTAAAAGTTCAGGGATAAAGTGAAAAACGTCTAACTAGTCTATATATTTTAGTAACTAACTATTTTAGTTTGAACAATTCAGGTATAAGGCAAATTTGAAAGAAAATAAATGAAAACTCAATTCTTTCTTCAAGTTTTTGACAAATATATCCCTTCCTCAGGACTTTTTTCTCTACTTAGAAAACTGAAACTTAAAGTTTCAAAAATAGCGGATTCTGAGTAACAGTTGATCGTTTTGTTAGTAGAATTGGCCTTATCCCTGATTTTTTTAGAACAAAATTATTATTAATGGCTAATATCAATATTATATCGTGTTTGTTTCTCGCCAAAAACAAATGTTAATAATAATTATTATTTTTATTTTATTAATCAGAAAGTTAGATTAATTAAGCTTCTTAATAAGTCTATTGTTGTATTTCCAAAACTTTGGTGGCTAGTTTATTGCTAGTTCAAACCTTAAGCATTTGAAATTGTTCCAATCAAAAATGACAATGTGAAATTCTGAGATTTATCCGTGGGTCTGCTGGGAGATGAATCTGTAATTTGGTCATTACCAATCATTTTGGTCTATCCTATGCCTAAACTCTAGATAGATCTAATATCAGTCCACTTACTAAACAAAACTGGTAAATTTATAATAAATTCCATCTCGCCTAAAACAAATGTTAATAATAATAATTATTTTTATTTTACTAATCAGAACGTTAGCTTGATTAAGCCTCTTAATAAGCCTAAAATGATGTATTTTCAAAACTTTTTGTCTTGTTAAGCATTTGAAATTGTTCTTATGCAAAAATGATAATGTGAAATTCTGTGATTTATCCGTGGCTCTGTGGGGTGATGAACCTGTAATTTGGTCATTACCGATCATTTTGATCTATGCCTAACCAGTCGGATGATCTATCCACCTACTAAGCAAAACTGGTGAATTTATCATAAATTCTATATTTTGTATATTTATATACAGACTAGACGAATGTTTATTTGTTAACCGTTTAAATAATTAAAAATTTCAAAGTCCTGATGAAAGTGATTTATTCCTCGGACGTTCGTTGAAGGAATGTTTTTTCTTCCTTCAAAAATTCGCCTTTCTCTAATTTTCTATACATAATTACAATATCAATGCTGATAATAATCACATCAAGACAATAAATTGATAAATAAAAAAGTTAACATAAACACAATTAAAAGAAAGGACTACTAGAATTACTGGGAAGATTGAAGTTGACGAAATTCCGAAATGCAAACAGCCCATACAACAATTCTACAACACATACATCTGCCATTCAATAATATATGTGCTAGTAGGATGATGTTATTTACAAGAGTTAAAACCCTTATTTATACGAGAATATCAGCCCCTGTGTGCGATAAATTGGGCCATCATATAGTAGCTTACCATTTCCTAAAATCCATCGTACTTGTGATGCGAAATAATCTACCAATTTGACTTATATACTTTATGTTTTACAATGAGCAATTCCACTGTTTAAATTGCAAACTTGGTTGTAGTTCCTAAGTTTTCGTTGTAAAGAAGCTGGGTTAACAGCTTTGCTCGTGTGAAATTTGAAATTGTCTTCCTTCAGATCATGACGTGGGACAAAAGACTACTAGACAATAGAAAATAGGGCGATTGTTAGACAATAGACGGCCTAAACGTGAGCTGGTCGGTTATTATATGTCATTCCTGTCCTCCTATTACCCCTGTTTATCCTTCGGCAGATGCGTTCTTCGTATTCAGTCTACGTGCACCTCAGCGTTTATCAGTAATGACAAATTGACAAAAGTGCATGGATTCTAAAATAAAGGAAGTAAAAGTAATTGATGATAAAGATGGATCTAAATAATTAGATATATGTTTGAAAGAGAGAGGAAGGAGCAGCAGAGAGGGAGGGAGAGAGAGATATGATAAAGATAGACAAATTGAGGAAGGAATGTATGAAAAAGGAGAACGGGTACTACTTTCAACAACAGTTATAGATTCAACTTTTTCTCGTGTCATTAACGTACGTGTGACACGTTTTGTTCAGTCGTGTGTCACGTTCGCATCGGTGCTGTGTAATTTTTCTAAACAGTCGGAGAAAATGCGACAAGTAAGAGCAAATACACCGATGGAACTACGGGTAAAATTTTGATAACGGAATTCAGCCATTCATCTGTGGAAGAATGAGTTGGGAGGTATGAAAAAATTGTGAAGGGAATATTTCTCAGCAAAGTTTACTTAAAGGCAAACAAAATTAGCTTAAAGAGCGTGCTATAAGCAAATTATCACATATGTTTACAAGGAGACTGGCAGGAATTTTAGATTTACAAATTTCTAGCATTGCATAAATTCATTTTTTCACCTCCTACATGTACTTGTAAAATTTAAACAATGTTTATAAATCCCAGGCCCTGATGATCTCAATAAAGATCGAAAAGTTGGCACGACAAAGAAAATGTTTTTCTAAAACCTACGTCACACTAGACCGCACTTCACGATGTCCATAATCATTGGCTAACGGTCACTAAAGACCACACATTGATATATAGTTTTTACGTCAAGTGTGATTGAGATGATAGTTCAAGTGGTTAGAGCAGCGGCGTATTGAGCAAGGGTTCGAGTCCTGCTCGTGACAGTAGTTTTTCATCTCAACACCACTTTATATAAAAATTATAGGTCGATTTAAAGTTCTTAGGTGTTAATTAGTGGACGAAGAGAGCGTAAAAAAGAAATATCATTAGATAAATTGAAGTGGGTATAGGTAATGAGATATATGTTTGAGAATGGAGAGAGGGAGGGAGGAATAGTGAGTGAGTGAGTGAGAGTGATATAGGAGGGAGGGAGGGAGAGAGAGAGAGAGAGAGAGAGAGAGAGAGAGAGAGAGAGAAATTGAGGAAAGAATGGGTGAAAAACGAGAACAGATACTACGAAAAACAGTGAAGGATTCAACATTTTCTCGTGTCATCAAAGCTCGTGTGCAGGGTATACGACCGAAAGATTGTAATAGATATACAGAAATAGATAAAGTGATAAAGTAGATAGAGATAAATAGATAAAATATAGATACTGATAGATAGACATAAAGAGATAAAGACAGCTACATAAATGGATAGATATTTACATAGATATATAGAGATAGATATTTAGATAGATAGATAGAGAGATAGAGATAGAGCGAGAAAGAGAAAGAGAGAGAGAGAGAGAGAGAGAGAGAGAGAGTGTGTGTGTGTGTGAGTGAGTGAGTGAGAGACATTATCGTTTTTGATTATATCAGCGAGTGATTCAATTTGTTGTTCTTTTTTACAACAAAAACTGTTAATTTTCCTCTTCAGGTCTGACTTTGGTAGTTTGCGATCATTTTAACCTATCTATCCTAGATCATACTTTGTCTTTGTCTTTCATACAGGTTTCAAATTTACGTTGTACACGTTAATGACGTTGTTTTCCCTTAAAATTCAAATCAATTTACGATAAACGTGGTGAACATGAAATTTGGAACAATAAACCATATATCATATAATTGTTAATTGTTTTATTTTGATATAATTTTTTTTTTCATATTTTAGTACTTGTTTCAGCCATTGTAATGGTTAGAGGCATTTGTGCAAGCTATATTTCAATTAGGGACGGTAGAAAATTAGTCGCGGGCAACAAATCAGGGCGACGCCACTCGGCAAAACAGACCTGAAAATTTAATAACAGTTGAAATAGTTGTCACCCGGTGGGGGCTATTTGTGTACCAACAATTGTCCACCCTACGACGGGGGTTTGCAGTAAATCAGGGTGACAAGGGGTTGTTGTGACATAATGGGCTTTGCGGTTTCCTTTGGGGCGCGCCTCATGGAGGGGATTGAGCCCCACTCTTTTACCAATCGTCCTATCACAGAGCAGGAACGTCGGGCATGCGCCACGCCCGGCCCTTCTGCACGACCCGCTCTTTCACCAAGGAGAGCACAGTCGTTTTTCTGAACTTAGTAGTGGAACATGAACTCCTATTGTACTAAGCCTGACTGTTACCGGTGCTTGTCCATGCTTCACATCCATCCTGGTAAACGCTCGTTACTCTAGTCGTACTTTTAAAGTTTCCCTGAAAATTTTACTCATTTTCGGATTGTCATTTTAAGGTGGGGTAAAAGAGGAAATCACGATGTTGACACCCCCTCGCAGCACGTCTTCCCCCGAGGGCAGCCCGGCGAGGTCTTCCGGTTCCCCGGAACCGATCTACCCCGATATGGGATATTCTACCCTACTCCTCGCTCAGTGGCTCCGGGGTGCTTATCCGCCTCCGCCCGCCCAGCAGATCCCACAGCCCCAGCACAAGCCGTACACCAGGCCGAAGAAACAGTTCATCTGCAAATTCTGCAACAGGCAGTTTACCAAATCTTACAACCTGCTTATTCACGAGAGGACCCATACCGACGAACGCCCTTACTCGTGTGACATCTGCGGAAAAGCTTTCAGGCGGCAAGATCACCTCAGAGATCACAGGTAAGCCGCCACCCGGCAGATTTTTTTCTCCTCTTGGGAAAACAGGCACTGATTTTTATCGTGTGTTGTAGGTATATTCATAGCAAAGAGAAACCTTTCAAATGCGGCGAGTGCGGAAAAGGGTTTTGCCAGTCCAGGACCCTCGCCGTCCACAAGATCCTTCATCTGGAAGAGTCGCCCCACAAATGTCCTGTCTGCAGCCGTTCTTTTAACCAGAGATCGAATCTTAAGACGCATCTCCTCACTCACACGGAACCACAGCCGGAGCCGAGGCCGAAAATGGGATTCACCATAGACGAAATCCTCAGCCGATAGTTTGCCGATTGTCGTACGGTTCGAGTCTTCTAGTCAAAGCCGGTGGTTCTCCTCGCTCCTTACCTATTTTAGAGTTCCTTCAGAATCGTGGATCAACCAAAGACGTTCGTAAAGTGAAAGATCTCATTTCAGTGCGGGGAGTTCATTTATATAATTTAATCACTTGATCTCAGATTGAGTTTTTTTGTTCAAATTGTATATTTTTTGAAGAAAAAAAGTATAATTTAATAACTTGTACAGAATGTATATTTTTTAAGCGATAAACTGTTATTTTATAGCATTATAGTTCTTTTGCAATAATCGTCGCAGATGAGTTATACCGTAAACAGTATTTTTTATGTTAAATACGTTTTTTTCACAAGATGAATGTAATATATGTATTAAAGTGAATGATTAAATTTAATATCGATTAATCTGTTATTTTTAATATCCTTATTAAAACCGCCCCCGCATAACGGCTCAAAAGAAAAGACTTTGAAAAGTGAGTTTAAGCGTGTTTATGAGGGGGTGATGATGTCAGTTCTATGATGTGAAAATAAAATGTTTTATTATTTCTATATAAACTATGTACATACTAGGATGCAACAAATGTCGGAAAAGTGACACGAACGAACAGGGGATGAAAGAATGAGGGTGTGAAACCTGGCTTATATAAAAAAAAAAATTACTTTAAAAAATCACAGTTCACATATAAAATTCTCAAATTTTACACATTTGTTTTAAAATATCAAAGGACAAATTTATATTTATTGGACAAAAAGTTGTAAATAGAGCAAAAAACGAAGAAATGAGCAATGGCAATAAGCCGTGTTTTGAAATGTATATCTCAGCGTATATCACTTTTTATTACATTCAACTTATTGAATATTAATTTCTAAATCACTTGTAAGTAAAAAAAATAAATAAATACAATCCGTTTAATTAGTTTTTATTTTATTTGAACTGAATGCATGATTATCAGAGTTATTATTGTGGGATGAATCATATTGTTTGTTAATATTTTGTTGCTACATAGTGGAGTGGACAAACATATTGAATAAAAGTATTTAAAAAAATTGATGAATTGGCAAGATAAAAATCAAATGAGTACTGTTCTAGAAATGGTATCATGAATTAACTAATGCACTTGGGTTCAAGTATATAACGTAATAAGAAAATTATAAATTATCAATACGTCTTATCTTTACAACAATCCAAAACAATACTTACGTTTTTTCAATCTTAATTTTACGGCTTATTAAAAAAAAATCAGTAAAAGTTTTGGGCTAATACTCCGGTGTCTATAATAAAAAAAATTAACGACGAGACGGCTCATCCTCCGATAAAATTAATTGTTTATTTATCTATATGGCTCTTATTATTATTTGTTTTAACGTCTGTTATTTTTTGAGGCGGGTCGTTTAAAGTCTGGTGTTTCGTTTGAAAATGACCGAAGAAGACGGAATACAGCAATAAATCCATTCATAAACTTTTTTCATAATTATCCTCACAAAAGTTTGTGTACGATGATTTTTCGCAGTATATTTTCACTTATTTGGGTTTGTTTTAAACGGTACAATTAAATTTTTATACAGATTGTGTCCCCAAGGTTAATTTTCCCATTTAAACCCTATCAAGAATGATATTTGATGGGTCGTAAATCACCGGCGGCGGTCGCAGGTAAAGAAGTTAAACACCGTGATCTTAGGGGAAGGGCTTTTCTGCTGTGTGACTTACCTGGCGTACAGTGGTACCATTCAGGTAGGTAATAGTTTATTAATGCAAATTGGCAATTTAAAAAAAAATAAAGCGTAATAAGCTGCAGTTTATAACGTATCCAGGAACTTTTCGCTCAGATTCGTCAAAAAACACGATTTTATATTCATACGAAGGAGAGATATGATGTGGATTTGGAAAAATTTACCCATGATAAGGGCATTATCACAATTTTATAGTATGAGAAGGCATAATTTAAAGTGTATTCGAAAATTATAAAATTATTTTTTGATAGTTACCATCTTCATCGTCACTTTATCCTAACTGATTTTTGTTAGTTCAGACGGGTTTCGGCATTTCGTCGTCTTCAGTGGTGAGTGATTTTTTGAAGTTAATGATAATTGTAATTAAATTTTTACACTAATTTGCTGAATTTTGTAGTACAAATATTCTGAAATCAGCTTAAATATCCTCCGTTCTATCCAGGGATTGCCAACAACTTTTCGCTTTGCAACTCAACAAAATTATTTATTTATTTTGTATAAATGTCTCAGTATTGATAAATATGTTTATGAAGGGTTTATAATAATTAAATTAATGTAAGTAGGATAAAAATCTTCTGTTGATGAAAAATAGTTACTTTGAGAACCGTCTACGTCTTTGGTTTATATCCTTGGCTTTTTAATCCTTTTTCTTTTGTGGTTTGGTAAATCCGGCTAGATCTTGTTTGAATCACGAAAGTGCCGTCAACATGGCAAGTTGAGTAAAAAACAAATACAACACAGAAAACCTTGGTAACATTCGAAAAACCAACAAATATACTAAATAATTACATGTCTTCGTAGATCCTCTTGCTGTACGTTTTGTTTATATTTTATAATATTGCCTGTGATTTTAACCTCTATCAAAACGTCCTATACAAGGCAATTTTGGGAATTTTTAAAAATAGAAAGCACAGATTTTTTAAAAACAACAATAGAAACTTGTGAGTTGACGATTTTTTTCATTTTCTCCTCTTTAAACTTTGTAAAAACCTAACACAACCTAAATAAACTTGATTACTTTGATGGGGCTGCATGATTTCGTTGATCATTTTAGGAAATAATCGATGAGATTTGATCCCACAAAGCGGCCAATATTTGGTTAGATAAGAACTTCCGTAAAATAAATTATCTTACGTATTTACATGTCCAAATTAGCTAATGTTTTAGCGAAATATTTTTCTAAAATTGACAAAAGAAAAACAAGTATAACTATTGAAAGAAAACGACGTTTTAACAGTTTTGGTTCCATTATATGTAGTTAGTTCTAAACGGCTTTGATTTCTAGTTATATTACCAGTTTGGTCATTTAGTTCTTGGGTTCACGGGAAGAGTAAGGCACCGTGCTGTACCGTCTGGATAGTGGCGCCACGGCGGGTTCGCCCATGAACCTTTTTCCGTCCGGACCGCCAAGATTGGAAGCCCAAAGAATGTCACAAAAATTAGTCGATTCGTAAAACCCTCGACGTTTCTGATCTGGCTAAAAAGCCTTAAAAAAGGTCAAATATGAGTTTTAATCTGACACATTAATAAACGAACTTAACTAACAATTTATTACCTGGTTTTGCTCTCAATAACGTCTTAAGGGCAAAACAAGGTAAACAAATAGTTAATATAATTATTAATAATAATAATAATAATTTTAATCTATTGCTAAATAATTTTACGTTTTTTTGGTGAATTTTCTTTCAAACTATAATAATTGGATAATTTTTTATTAAAATTCATAAATTTTTGATCTCGTTTAATTTGGTTTATAAAATAGGTTTGTTGTAATTAATATAACTATTTACATGCAGTTTGAAATAAACAACAAAATTTCAGTGCTCGGTTTTTTTCTCATTAAGTATATATAATAGTAGGAAACAGTGTAAACTATTGTTTTTTTAGATGTTTTTTTTTGTCTGTGCATTACTAAAGGATTGAATTTTTTGGATCGCTTAACATTAATTAAAAGTCTATTAGAGTTCGTGGACCGGTTGACCAAATAACTTTTTTCAATTAATTAATCGTTATGTTAGGTATGGGTTGAGATAAAAAAATGAAAAATGGCAAAAAGGAGGGAAAATTCGAAAGGTGGGTTGTGGTGGGATGTTAGTGTCCGAGTGGATCGAAGTCACGATAGCTCAAGTGGTAGAGCAGCAATTTAGCCGAAGGTCGCGGGTTCGAATCCCGCTCGTGACACTGACTTTTTTCTCTCAACCAATACCTTACATAAAGATTAATTAATTAACAAGCTCAAATATATGGACATTTTGGAACCAACGCTTGCCTTCTTTGCATCATACTTTACTTGTAGAACTCAGGCTACTAAAATAGGCTATGTCACAAGTGCTTCTACTGTAATTAAATCTGGTAAACCCCAAGGTACAATACAAGTTCTTGGTCAGACTTTATTTATAATTTATATTAATGACTTGGCAAAGATTATTAGTTATGCGGATGATACCTGTCTTATTTTTTCAGGCAATAATTTAAAAACTTTATGTATGGGAATTAATTACGACATAAATATTGTTAAGCTTTGATTGCATAGAAACTTTTGATTATTGAACACTGAGAAAACAATTTTAATTAATTTTTCTTTGGGGAACAATGCTAATTTAAAGTCTTTGAAAATTTGCTTTCACAATTGAACCTCACCTCACCTCTTTCCTTAGCCTTTAGGTTATAGCCTTAAATATCCTGAAATCATTTTTGTCGAGGGCTTGCTATTTCTATTCATATTGAAGCTTTAATAAAACGTATCCGAAAACTATTTTTTTAATTTACAATTCTTAGAATGATAGACTTTGAAACTTTAAAATCAGTTAACTTTGCGCTCGCCCAATCTATATTGTCATATGGCGTCACTGCCTGGGGTGGAGGAAGAAATTGCTACATAAAAACATTAAGATTGCCAATAATACTTTATTCCGAGTTATTTTTAAAAATCTCTAAGATATACAAAGCAGCTCTATGATGATATGAAGGTGCTTAATTTAAAACAAACATTCCTAAAAAAAAATTTGTATTCACCACTTTAAATACAATAAAATCTCTCCCTTCCATAAAACTTTATTAATCATCAGAAATTTGCCTACATCTCTAAAGTTAAAACTGCCGCACACTATAATTTTTCACTTAAGTTTATAAATTTTTTTTGTTGATAAAAATAAAACCAATTCCAACAGTTATAAGAACTTTACACCTTTATAAAAGCCATAATAAATAAGTTAACAGTATAATTATAATTTATTTTTGTATATGTACAAGAGTATTTTTTCTTTTCATAATTCATAATGTATTGAACCAAGCCTCCTTCTAACAAATACAAGTTTTTGCTTACTGAAAGTAGGCGGTTCTGTACAGGTTTTTTTATATTTATTTAAATTTAATGTTTAATTCGTATAGAACGCAAATATATAATTTCAAGTTTATTCTATTTAAATTAATTAATTTTTTTGGGTTTAAGCCTTTGAACTTTTTTCTCTCTCACTTCATATTTAAATGAACAAATGTTAATTATTTTGAAAAATTATATGCAAATAATATTTTTTCCCAGCAATAATAAAATGATATTTACGTTGAATTATATCTCAAAGTTTAAAATAGCGAAAAGCCTAAAGCGATTTCCTTTCTAACCAAGAGGACCAGGTAATTTAGTTTTCAAAAACCAAGCGGTAC